TTAAGCTGTTTTTTTCAGTAGGGTTTACTAGTGCTCATGAAGTATGATCTTATTTTACAGCCCTAATCTAACCCAACTACTACCTTACTAACTATTAATAAGCAGTGAGTGGTCTAAAAGATGCTTATTGATTTGTTAATTTTGTGAATTGTACATTTAAGTAAAGTTGTTTGCTGTTATTTTCTCTCTGAGCTCATTCTGGGTTTGCTTGCGTTAGGTGTCTAAAGATGCTCCCTACACGGGCTGCTCTGTAGGTTTGTGGCTGTAAGTTTGATCCTGCTTTCTATCTCTCTCTCTCTCTGTTTCTTCTCTCATGTTCAGGCCATGTGGGATGCCCACACCCAGGCGCTGACGGCCTACTCATGCTCAATGGTAAATATGGCAGTCAGCTTCAGTTTTGTGCCTTCGTTCTGTCTGTAATATGATCACATTAGCAGAGGCCATCTTGAGAAATGTCCAGCTAATGTGGGCTCGAGAGCATAGGTTTGATTATGCTGGTCTTAGCTGCAAACTCCCAGTTTAAATGAGTGATTTGTTGAATCCTTAAAATAATTTGTTGAGAATCTCTCCAGGTTTTGTTCTTTAAATTATTATTATTATTTTATTATTTGATTATATATTCATTGTATAATACATTTTTTATTAATTAATTTTCCTTCGGCTTAGTCCCTGATTTATCAGGGATAGCCACAGTGGAATGAACTGTCAACTATTCCAGCATGTGTTTTACACAGTACATGCCCTTCCAGCGCCGTTCGCGCCCGCACTGTTCTCACATGAAAAGCCGCTGGAGGCCGCTGTGGAGCGACCGTCCGTCCGACTGGCTGGTTGAACAACCAAACGATCGACCAGGTGGCCGGCCGATCGGCCAACCTGGCCGCCCTCCTCCTCCTTCCCTAAATCCAAGCGACGGTTTGCAAAAGCCGTCCAGAAAAAAAAAAAGCAAAAGTCCTCGTCTTTAATTTCGACAGCGTTTTCGGATCCTGCAGCGTTCTCGCCCTTACTTTTTGGATTCTGTTTTTCATCTTACCTGATTTCTGGAACCGCTCTTCCCCGGACCGATCCCGGTCGTCCCCGTGGCCGGCTCCTCCTCCACTGGGCCTCAGCTCCGCCGACGTAACGCTGCGAGCTAAGCGGATAAACTGGTTGCATTGGGAAAGCCCTCCACCTGGAGGCCAGCTGTCGGCCGGCAAGCGCGAAAAGGAGGAGCGGA